GTGTGGGAGGTTAAAAGCCTCTATTGAGTTATGGTTTAGTGTTATGAATGTTCCTATAACTTTCTTTTTAAAAAACATTTATTTAGTATTTTATTTTCCCCCAGTTACATGTGAAAACAATTTTTAACATTCATTTTTAAAACTTTTGAGTTCCAAATTCTCTCCCTTCCTCCTTCTCCATCCCACCCCACCATTGAGAAGACAAACAATTTGATATAGGTTATACATATGTAGTCATGCAAAACATTTCCATATTAGTCATGCTGTGAAAGAAAAGATAGACCCCCCCCAAAAAAAAACCTCAAGAAAAATAAAAGTAGGCTTAAAAAAAGTGTTCTTCAATCTGTATTCAGACATCATCAGTTCTTTCTGGGGGATAGATAGCATTTTTCATCATAAGTGCTTCAAAGTTGTCTTGGATCATTGTGTTGCTGAGAATAGCTAAGTCATTCACAGCTGATCACAACAATGATATTGTTGTTACTTTGTACATGGTAAATTTCACTTTGCATTAGCTTGTGTAAGTCTTTGCAGGTTTTTCTGATAGCATCTTCATCATTTCTTATAGCACAATAGTGAGTATTCCATCATAATTACATATCACAGTTTGTTCAGCCATTTGCCAGTTAATGGGCATCCCCTAAATTTCCATTTTCTTTGCCACTAGAAAAGAGCTGCTATAAATATTTTTGTACATATGGGTCCTTTTCCTTTTTGTTTTTTATCTCTTTTGGGATACAGACCTAGTAGTGGTATTGCTAGGTCAAAAGGTATGCATGGTTTTGTAGCACTTTGGGTGTAGTTCCAAATTGCTCCACAGAACGGTTGAATCAGTTCTTCACAACTCTACCAAGAGTGCATTAATGTCTCATTTTCACAACTCTACCAAGAGTGCATTAATGTCTCATTTTTCACACATCCCCTCCAGCGTTTGTCATTTTCCTTTTCTGTCTTATTAGCCAGTTTAATATATTTGAGGTAGTACCTCAGAATTATTTTAATTTGCATTTCTCTGATCAGTAATGAGTTAGAGCATTTTTTTCATATGGCTATAGATAGCTTTGATTACTTCATTTGAAAGCTTTTCACATCTTTTGATCATTTATCAGTTGGGGAATGGCTCTTATTTCTATAAATTTGATTCAGTTCTCTATGTGTTTGAGAAATGAGACCTTTACTGGAGAAATTTGTTTCAAAATTTATTTCACAATTACTATTGCTAACTATGTTTCCCTCCAGCCTATTCCCCCACACACACCATTTATTCTATTTTCTCTCTCCTTCTACCCTGTGCCTCCTCAAAAGTGTTTGCTTCTGACTACTCCCTCCCCCAATCTGCCCTCCCTTCTATCACTCCCTCCCCTTTGCCCATCCTGTTCTCCTCCTACTTTCCTGTAGGGTAAGATAGATTTCTAAGCCCAACTGAGTGTGTATGGTTATTCCCTTTTTGAAGCAGTTATCATGAAAGTAAGGTTCACTCACTTCCCCTCACATTCCCCCTTCTTCCCCTCCACTGTAAAAACTTTTCCTTCTTTCTTTTATGTGAGATAATTTACCCCATTCTAACTCTCCCTTTCCCTTTCTCCCAGTACATTCCTCTCTCACCCCTTAATTTTATTTTTTTAGATATCATCCCTTCATATTTAACTCACAACTGTGCTCTCTGTCTATATATACTCCTTCTAACTGTCCTAATAATAGGAAAGTTCTTATGAGTTACAAGTATCATCTTCCCAAGTAGGAATGTAAACAGTTTAACCTTATTAAGTCCCTTATGATTTCCCTTTCCTGTTTATATTTTTATGCTTCTCTTGAGCCTTATATTTGAAAGTCAAGATTTCTATTCAGCTCTGGTCTTTTCATCAAGAATGCTTGAAAATCCTCTATTTCATTGAATGTTTGTTTTCCCCCTGAAGGATTATACTCAGTTTTTCTGGGTGGGTAATACTTGGTTGTAATCTTAGCCCTTTTGCTCTCAGGAATATCATATTCTAAGCCCTCCAATCCTTTAATGTAGAAGCTACTAAATTTTGTGTTATCCTTACTGTGACTCCACAATACTTGAACTGTTTCTTTATAGTTGCTTGCAATATTTTCTCTTTGATCTGGGAGCTCTGGAATTCGGCTGTAATATTTCTGGGAGTTTTCATTTTGGAATCTCTTTCAGGAGGTTATCAGTGGATTATTTCCATTTCTGTTTTTCTCTCTGGTTTGAGAATATCAGGGTGTAAAAGGGGTAGGGACTAGCCGAGAAAGCCCCACCCAAATGCCAGCCCAGAAGGTGTGGTCTGTACACATTTTTACTCCACTCCTTTCTGGTTGGGATGGGAAAAATGAGAGCACAGACTCTTTGTGATCCAAAGTGTTACGTAATGTTATTTCTTTTATTTTATCTTTAATTTATGGAATAAAATAAACATTTTCATAACATAGTACAATAGAAAAATGATTGCACAGGAAACTAATTCTACTGTGCACAACTTGATATTCTTTTCAAGTATACAATAAAATTATCACATAAATTTATTTTTTTCCCTTTTTTTCACCTTCCCTGTCCTAGAAATGATTACCATTACACACAAAAAGGTGCATATATATATATATGCAAAATTATTCTACACACCTATTTATCAGTTCTTCTCTGGATGTAGATAGTGTCTTTCTTCATATATCCTTTATAGTTAATTTAGGTATTTGTAACAGACAAAATGACTTATCCACTCAACATCATTCTTAAAACAATATTGCTGTTACTATATACAATGTTCTCTTGGTTCTGCTCATTTTGCTTTTCGTTATTTCCTGCAAGTCTTTCCATGTTTTTCTAAAATCATTGAACTCATCATATTTCATCACAATCACATAGCACAACTTGTTCAGCTATTCCTCAATTGATGGGCATCCCAACAATTTCCCGTTCTTTGCCACTACAAAGAGAGATGCTATAAACATTTTAGAATATATAGTTTCTTTTCCTTTTCCCCAGTCATCTTTGGAAATAGACCAAGTAATGGTATTTTGGGTCAAAGGGTATAAGTAGTTTAATAACTCTTTGGGTATATTTCCAGATTGTTCCACAAATTTCTACAAAATGGTTGGATCATTTTACAATTCCACAAACAATGAATTAGTGTCCCAATTTTTCCACATTCCAACATTTGTCACTTTCCCTTTGTATCTTTTTAGCCATTCTGGTGGGTATAAAATTATATCAAGATTGTTTTAATCTGCATTTCTCTAATCAATAGTGGTTTAGAACATTTTATATGACTATAAATTGTTTAGATTTCTTCATTGTAAAAATGCCTGTTCTTATCCTTTGACCATTTATCAATTGGGGAATGACTTATATCCTTATAGATTTGACAAAGTTCTAATTACTGTTTGTGAATTTCCCACCATCTTATTTTTACTCACTATTTTCCTTCTTAGCCTCTCTTTTTACCCGATCCCAGTTGCCTTATCTTTTCCCCTTCTAAAATTCCTTCCCTTATCTTCTCCCTGAACTCTCCTAATCTTATTTTACATACCAAAAGTGCCTTCCCCACCCTGTCCCCCAGTTTTCTCACCTCTCGAAGTTCCAAAGACTTCTAAACCTCTCTAGATGTACACTTTGTTTTCTCTTTGACCCAGATGAGAGTAAAGTTCCAACATTACCATCTGATAAGGGAGTCATTCCTGAATCAGCTGTCCCTGTAGGATCAGACCACCTCCTTGTTAGAACAGAGATCAAAACTGATACAAAACTGGAACAAATAAAAATGAGAAAAAGATGTGATAAACAATTAAAACAATTCAGCCTCGCCTATTTAAACAAACTGTTAATGCTGAAAAAAAATTGGCTTATGATTTACAAAATTACTTTTAGTCTGAACTATTTTTCTTAACTAAAGCAAAAAGGAGGTGGCCTTTCTGTGTTTTCTCAAAGTTGGAGGCATGAAATTTAAGCATATTAATAAGAACATGGAATTTAAAGTCAGAAGACCAGGGTTCAAATCTTGGCTCTGCCGTTTAATTTCTGTTTGACCTTGGACGAGGTACTTAATATTTCTAGGCTTGGGTTTCCCCATCTTCCATTCTCCATCACCATTCCTTGTTAAAGGAATTTAACAAGATGATCCCCGAGGTCAGAGCTGTACTAGAGCCAGCTCATACTGGCTCATGAAGGCCAATTGTTCAGTTTTAAGTGTGAGCATTTACACTTTAGAAATCAGCAAATGCCATGTAAATGAGGCTTGACTTATTATTTTGTGGATTGTATAGACTTAAGAAAAACAACACCAGAGGAAATGACAGTAATGAAGATTAAACTTAAAAGTATGTGGTGGGCACATTTTTCCTTCTGAAGAGCTGGTTGTTAAACATTTAGCAGCACACTAGTGCCCATTGTCCTTTCCATCTCTGAATCTGTGATGGTCCTGTGATGATGAAGTTTGATTTAGCAGTAGTGCTTTTGTGAACCCAGCAGTTCAGTGCTAACCCTTACCAGAGAATTAAGCCAAGTCTCACATATTAGTTTCCTGAGTCATTGTTTCATTGCTGTTTAGAAGTATGAAAGTGAGGCTTCTCATCTCTGTAAGCTTATGTTGTTTGGTGAATCTAGTTGAAACTATCGTGACTATTCATAAGCTATGCCAGGCAATGATTTGTGTAGTTCTGCTTTCTTTTGTATACAAATGCATTATGTTTTTTTCATCTTTGAGATTTTCTTCTTTGTGTTATGAATGTTTCAGTTCATCTTCATTCACTATTCCTGATTCTCATATTTTCTATAGCATTATAATTTAACATTGAAAACCTAGCACCATTTATTTTCTGTTGTTTTATATTCTGTATATTTTATATTCTGTTATTTATTTTATGTTACTTGGAGGGTGATGTACTGTATGGCAGGGCTAAATTTTACCTTCATTGAATTGTGAGATGCTTTATGAGGGAATTTGTATAGTATTTACCTACTTAAAAAACAACCCACAATTTTTTTGTTGTTGTTGTTGTAGATTACTGCTACCATGAGAAATTTGGTTGATGTACCTCTGGCAAGGTGTAAATTGTTGAACAACAATGCCCTTCCAGAGCTCTGTGGAGTGATGGAACAGTATGCAAATGATAAGGATGTCTGCACCAACATTGCTAGGATATTAAGGTACGTAGTATTAAAGGGGGAAAAATACCAAATCTTAGGATATTGTGTTACTTTAGATTTTTACATGTCTTTTCTTGTTATTTTTATGATACTGTCTTCCAATAATGCAGTGGTTTCCTAGCAATTCACATTTCTGGCACCCACACGACTAATAACTAGTATTCATTTTGCAGATGGTAGTTTGAGTTCATAAAGTGTTTTTCAGAGAATCTCAGCATATTCTATAAATATGTTAAAAGTTCCCCTCTGAGGGAGATCTAATTAATGTCATTTTACAGAGGAGACACAGAATTACAGGAAGTTTAAATGACTTCTCTAAAGTCGAGAGCAGAGCCAGACCCTAAAGCACAAGCCTTTTGAAGATCCAGTGCTGTATTTTTTTTCTCTTAGGCTTTATGCTGCATTTCCGTGCACATTTCTGAATGTCACTGTGGTTTAAAGAAATCCTATTATTTATCTCAGTATATCTTCCCAGATGTCATGAGTATCTCTCAAAATGTGAGTTTGGAAATGAAGTCTTTATAGATGTGTGATATTTCAAACCTGTACCTCAGTGCTAGCTGGCTCCAATTTTGCCTTGTTTACTTCTCAAAAATCTCAATGAAGCTGAGTTGCATTTATAATGCTCTCTTTTCTCTCTGTGAATATTCCTTATGTTATTTCAAGGAAACTTGCATCAAGCCAACGACCAGGTTTCTGTAGAACAAGTACATTCTTTTACTGTGTTGGATAATGACCAGGTTTGAGCCATTGCAGGGTCAACAGTTTAAACCAAAAAAAAAAAAAAGTAAAACTATGGGAAAGGGCACACAGCAGAAGTTCGGGATAACACCAGTCTTCTTTGGGTCTCCTTCCTGAGAAATATTCCAAGGATAATGCCCCAAATCCCAAAGTGTTTAAGGACACTTGAGAAAGAACTTAATATATTTGCACACCTTTTTGAAAAAATCAGATAAATAGTCTTGACAAAATAAATAAGGAACCCTGAAAAAGCATATTCAGTAAGCAAAATTAATGGCTCCATTTGGCACAATCTTAAATCTAGTAACAATTGGTGGAATTTTTATAATTCTGTGTTAAATAATGTGAGAAATGATTATTTCTCTCTTGTATTTAATAACTAATTATTGTATTAGGACCAAAATTTTTCCCCTCTTCTACTTCCTTATTCAGAAATCAATCAGTGTGGAAACTCTGTGTCAAAGACTTATCCAGGCCAAGATCTAATCAGACAGTAAAAGAAATTCAAAGTTTGGGCTAATGGGTGCATTCCTGCTCATTGTGTTTGCTCAGACAGGTCTGGGAAGTATTGATTCTCCCTTTTGTCAGACAGGTGATATGGAAATTGATAAGTCCTTTTGACTGAGACTTGGGTGACCTAAGTCATGTACCCCAAGACCCTCATTTAATATAGACCACCCTCTTATTGTAATATTCATTTTCTCATTGATTGTTGACCAATCAGAGCTGATTTCCACTCTGAGGAACACCTATTCTTCCAAGAGCATATATATAGATTGTGAGCCCACCACCATGAAGGTCTTTGGTTTAAGAGAGGCAGCCAAATGACCATTTATTAGTAAACGTGCTGGCTTTATTAATAAAATGATTAAATTACCCAGAAATTATCTCACAAACCTTTTTAAATGTGACAGTAGGCAGAGGGCTTGTGTTGTGCCCATAAACAACATGGTCAGGATGCTTCCTGACAGAAGTCACAAAGGTATATTAAATGTGGCCTCCTGTACTGCATAAGATATATAACAAATGCAAAAAATGACTTAAATGGTGTCACAGAGCCATGATTCAAACCCATGGTCCATTTAGTCCAGGAGTGGGGAACCTGCGGCCTTGAGGCCACAGGGCTCTCGAGGTCCTTGGGTGCAGCCTTTTGACTGAGTCCAAGTTTTAAAAAATAAATCCTTTTATTAAGGAGATTTGTTCTGTGAAGTTTGGATTCAACCAAAGGGCTATACTTGAGGACCTAGAGGGCCACATGTGGCCTCAAGGCTGTAGGTTCCCCACCATGATTTAGTCTGTCTTCATCAGTGGTTCTGTGGGAGAATGTAGTAGTTGTCTTCCAAAACATTATCTTTATAGGTTATGAGATACATTTCAGACATCCCTTATTTCTCTTAAATGCTCTAAACGTGGATCTACTGATTTATCTACACCTTTCTTGAAACTCTGTAGATTTTGGCTTGGACACCTTCTTGGGGAATGAGGTCAGTGTATGTATCACATCATGATGGTAACTGTCCTGAGTGTCATTTGTGGTGATTCATGTTAGTACTGACTTTGTACTCTTTGGAACTATGGCAGGTTTAAAATTACTCTTTTAAACTATTACCATGATATTACTGGATTGCTCACTTTATGGAATACCTGTCCTTCTAAGTCCATTACAGAGAATGTCTTGTACTTTGGATAACTTCTTCAAGAAGTTACATTTTCTGAATAGAAGATGTTCTTATATTCTAGTACTCTTAATTAAAGCGTTGTGGTTCTTTCAGTTTTACATTTGTTTTATTGTATCTTACTATGTTTTTTCTTTATGAATCAGAACTCCGTAATCTTCCTGCTTGACAGATTATTTCAGACCATTTAAAGTTAGATATTAGGTTCCATTACCTGGTACTGAAATAATGCTTTATCCTTAAAGTATTTCCTGGATTCTTACATATGATTTATTTTTCTCAAAATCTTAGTGAATCTATAACTTTGGAGCTATTATTTACACATATTTTTTCCTAAACTTTTAAAATCATGGTTTCCATTCAGTCATGAATATTGTGACCATTGCTTTTGCAGAATTAGTAATCCCAGAATGGAGATGTTATTAAGTGACATTAAAAATTCTTTTGACGTGCTTTATGTTCATAACCACCATTGTGTGCATTTTTAGTCACTGGGGGATGGTTTTGCAACAGGAAGATAAATTAGCTAATGGCATTATATATAGAATAGGCACCCAGAAGTCACTGAATGAATGAGTGGGTGAATGAGTGAATGAATGAATGTCTGAAACAGCCTGTTGATTATTTGTACACATAGAGGAGAATTAGTGGAGATAGCTCTCCAGTAGGACATTCACAATTTACAAATGATTTTTTTCAACAAAATATGACTGTTTGAGGTTCTGGAAATTCACAGTCTTTCAAAGAGAATAACAAAGCCCTGGAATGGTGATTAGTTGCTGTAAGGGCTAGAATGCTGTTGTCCCTGGACTCAAGGTTGACTATCTCTGAAGCCTTCAAAGTTCCCAAGGTTTTTTTTTTCTTTCCAGCTAAAGATGAGAAGGAGTGAGAGGATACCAAGACTAAAGCTCAGATTGAGGCCAATGCCTGACTCCTCACTTCATCCCCATACCCCAGTGATTCCTTCTTAAGGGCTTGGCTAGAATATTTCTCTTCTCTCTACTGCTAGAAACTTGAATACTTAGCTTCTGGATTGGTTTGCTCTTCTGTATGCAACCTGCAGGGCATGGTCAAGTCTTCTCAGCCTATCTCAATATACTTCCTCTTCTTTGTTACTCTGTTTTATCCAATGGCTTTGAAGGACTTAAAGACTGATAAAGGACTTATAGTTCCTAGTCTAAAGCCTTGTTTTGGTTAAATAGAGATGCCTGGGCCTTGTTTATACTTCTGATTTATTGACTCAGTGGAAGTGTTCTTGCTTGATAAAGGAATCAGGGCTAAATGGGGTGTGATTAATTGCCTTAATTTGGCCCCACCCTTATATTTGTTTTTATTAACTGAGACTTGGTGAAAACAAGATATGCCACAAATAAACAGAAATCTGGATAGTCTACTTGTAAATACTTGAAAGTTGACATGATTACTGGTAGTTTTAAGTGGTTTAGTGACATCTCGTTGCCATCATCCCAGGCTCAAAGTTAAAACTGGTTGAATAAATCTATTCCTTTTTGAGGATCTGATTCTTTGTGAATATGTATGTATGTATGTGTGATGCTGTAGTTTTCTTCCTCTGCTACTTGTGATTAGGTTAGCAGGTGGGACTTGCATTCATGTATGTTCGAACTCACTGTAAAAAAAGAGTGATTTCCATCAAATTTCAAGTCCTTTTAGTTTCTTCTGTTCACTTAAAGGTCCTCTGCCTGTTGCTGGTTAATTATCAAGATTGGTTTGGGTTATGATGTAATGCAAATTGACATAGCACTTAAAGATTTACAAAGCACTTTCTTTTACAGCAATCCTGTGAATCAAGTAGCATGTCACCTTCTTTGCAGATGATTAAATGGCGTCTTAAAAAGGTCAGGTGGCTTAGTCATATTCACCCAACAAGTAAATATAGGATCCTGGATATTAACCTGTGTTTTCTGCCTCTAGGACCAGTGCTGTCCCTACTGTCCTATGTTGTTCCACACCAATGAAATCTCTTTTTTTAAAAAAAAAAAGGAATGCAATTACTGCTTTGTGATGGAGTCATTTTAATTTTATAAATTTCTCAGCCTTCTCAAGATGATTGATAAGCTCAAAAACACAAACTCCCTTAGATAGTCACTTGGTTCCATTGACCTTAGTTTGGGTACAGTCTAGACAGTGGGGTCCAGCATCTTTTAACTTCAAATCCCAGATCAGTGAAACACACATTTGCACAACACCTCTTATGTGCAAAGTATGGTAGCTAGGCATGTGGGATACAAAGATAAAAAAGAAATACTCTCTGACCCAAAGGAGCTTCCATTCTGTTTGGGCTTCAGTCCTCAAGCTGATATAAAATTCTATCACTGATTTGGACCTTACGATGCCATAGAAGGATGCTGATTGGCCCAGTGCAACACAGCTGCATCATACACAGCATGCGTTTGTGGCAGGAGTATGGAGACACCTGGCCAACTTTTCACTCAGGGACCTGGACCGTGAACCAGTATCACAGATGTTGTTACTCTCTCTCATCTATGTGAATACAACTCTTAAATGATATAATTATGTGCTACCTTTTCCAGCCCTAAAAATGCAGTGGCCACAGATAAAGTTTGAGTTGTGCTTTGCAGACAGAAGGTAAAATCTATTATAATAAAACACTGTAGTGGCTTCTTTGTCAAAAGACTGAAAAATATTAACCCAATGTGTAAGCATACCCTAACTTATGGACACTTGACTTTTAAAAGATGTTTACCATCAAATCATTGCTTTTCTTCCCCCCATTGTTTCTGCCACTGTTCCCCCTGGTTCAAGGGGGATATATACATATATGTGTGTGTGTATACATATATATATATACACACACGTACATATAGACATACACATATACATATAGACATGCGTGCATACACACATATATGTATATATGTATGTATATATATATATACGTGTGTGTGTGTACATATATATATGTGTATATATATATATATATATATATATATATATGTATTTTTATATATATATATGTATTTTTATATATATATATGGAGCTGCTACTCCTTAGGAACCCCAACTCTTCCTGCTGGTCAGTGTTACAATATCTTCGTACCAGACAAAGTAGAATTTTCTGTCATAAAAATGTGTGCGTTTACAAAAAAATATTAGAAAGTGTTCCTTGTTGCACCCTGGCCTGTTATGACTCACATGGTTACCTGTCCTGCTGGTGCTTAGGCCTGCTCTCCTCTGCAGGTGTCCAGGTTTTCTCCAAAGGCCTCTGACCTTAGGGTTCACTGCAAAGATATTATGGGTATACAAGTTAGAAACAGTAAAGAAAAACACTCTTAATTCCTGTTTGATTGTGTAGTGTTTATGGGACAAAATATTTTATGAATCAAATCTCCTTATCGTTGGCCAAAAAAATCCAAATTTAAAAAAAAATTTCCTTTGTCTTGAATCATTTTTTTGAAAGGTGGTATAAAGCCAGTATTTTCATAGTGCTGTATTAAAGTGGAATGATACATTGAAAAATAAAACAATTTGACCTTTTACAAATATCAATTTTACTTGACAGATATGGGTAGAAATCTATTTCATAGTTGCCTTTTAGATAATAGTCTTTAAATGTTTCCATGTGCGTTGTGGGGTATATGCTGTAGAATGTTACATATGGGAGCTGCACTAAATGATCTCTTAACTCTAAAAGTGAATCTATTAAATGCATCTTGGTTTCTCAGTAGGCGGAGTACAAATTTGAGTTTCATAGAAGAATAAAATGTATATTTTTTTCATTTTTATTTCCCCATGTGGTATGTATGCAGCAAACTTTCTTCCTGTCATGATTGCTGTGCAGCCTTGGCTGACTGTTCCAGATGTTATGCCTTATTTTTGAGCCTGATAAACCAGTATGAGAAGAAGCAGGTTAGTTTGCTATTTCTGATTTTTCCATATCGCATGATGTGTCTGTATTTATGCATGAGTTTATAAGCCCATGTGGAATGACCTACTTTTGTGAACATGAAAGAAAATAATAATTTTAATAATAGTTTTTGATAATGGTAGTTTTTTAAAAATTTGTTTCAGTGGGAGAGGATCAACCAAATAATAGACAAATGATAAAATTGTCCTGGTAAGCTTCCCTCAAGCTAAAATTTTATTCCTCAAAAAGATGGTTAAGATTTTTCCTTACAAGTTGAAAGTCATAGATATATGCATAGTGATCCAAAAAATGCAGGAGCATTTGCTTTTCTTGGCTTTGGGGTGGATATAACTAAATTCAATCCTTATTTGCTATCAGATGAAAATGCAGAAATTACTTTTACCCATCATAATAAAAGAAAAAGTATTATTATTTATCATTCACACTTATTTAGAAATAAAAACTTACACTCTGAAAACATATGAAAGTTCAATGTTAAAATCACACTTAATTCTTCTCAGATCTCTCTCTCTCTTTCTTTCTCTGTCTGAGATGGTGAAATGAAGAAATGAAAGTCTTTATAAATATTTTAAGATGAATGTGTGCTTCTTGATAATTTGGTCACACATAGAAATAAAATTATTTCACTGTACTTAAAAACAAACTTTATAAATGTTCCCCTGAACTTTTACTTCTGGGTTGATCAGTTTTCAAGTGCTCTTACATTTTTGAACAACCAGTCACATCTTTGGTATTTATTGTATTTACATTAATTTACCATTACACTTGGGACATTTGAGCTGTTCACTGATGCTGCTTTAAAGGCTAAAAGTTTCTCATAGAGAAAAAACTTTTCTAAGAAGATGAAGAGTGAATATGTTGAATAAGCTTTCAAATCTCCATGGTCCCTTTGTTCACCCGAGGAGAGATTTAATGATTTAAATATTTATGGCCTATTTTTTTGAGTGTTATCAACTTTGGAATCTTCTGATTTCAAATAAACACTGGAGATACAAGACTATGTAGTTCACTTCCTTTTCCTGATTTGTGGGGGGAGGACAGAGATATTCACAAATTTTTACTTTTTGGTTGTTTTTTGTGCCATGGTATTTTGATCATAGATATTATAATGGAGGTTTACTTCATATGATTTGCCCTAGGATTTGTGGATATTTCAAAACAAAACTTATTTGTTTTGTCATTTGTTTCATTTGTTTCAAAACAAAATTTATCTTTTCTTTGACCCACATAAAAGGAAATTGTATTTATGGATTTAAAAAACACAAAACAATGCAAACTAACCAACTTCCAAACCTAGTGTGGTAGACTTAATTCAAAGACTTTGTAGGCTCTCTGATAATTGTAAATGGTGACAGGCATTTTAAATAAATAGAAAAAATGTCTTATAAATCTGCCAGCATAAGTCAAAATACTCTAGAGACATCGTTTTCTGGACAGGTATAGTTGGTTCAATTAACTCTACAACTGTTTGTCTTTTTTTTAAGTTATACTTAATTTATTTAATATTTTATTTTTCCCCTGTTACATGAAAAAAAAAGTTTTAACAGTCATTTTTAAAACTTTGAGTTCCAAATTCTCTCCCTTCCTCCCTCCCCACACCCCACCCTATTGAGAAGGCAAGCAATTTGATACAGGTTATACGTGTATGTATAGTTATGCAAAATATTTCCATAATAGTCATTTACAACTGTTTTTCTTAACAAGCAAGGTATTCCCTGTTAAACCTAGTGACTTACTGATAATTAAGGATCATCAGTTAGTCATACCTTTGTGTTTAAGAACAAATCAGAGACTTTTCTGAGCTGAGAACTTCTTCCACATGTCCATTCCAGTTAGGCAGTTCTGTTAGAATCCTTCAGTGTGGTTTTTATAGAGCTAGGTGGCTCAATGGATAGAGCATTGGACCTGGAAACAGGAGAAGTTAGGTTCAAATCCTGCCTTAGACACTTAGTAGCTATATGACCCTAGGCAAGTCACTTAATTGCTCTCTGCCTCAGTTTCCTCATCTGTATGATGGAGATGATACCAGCCCCTACCTCTCAGGGTTGTTTCCACTTCTTGTAAGTCATCATTGGTAATTTCTCATAGGCTAATTATATCCGCAATGCATCCTTCTATTACCCTTTCGGTCCCATGTGATTTTCAGTCTTCAGAGACTGTGATATTTCATGATTTTCAGCCATATAGCACCATCTTTCTGATGAAACAGGGAGAAGCTTGGGATCACTGGATGTATGACATTGTGTCTTCAATGCTATCCATCTTGTTTTCTTCCTCCTTTTCAATTCTAGACTCAGCTTATTTGTCTATTTGCAATTCCTAAGTCAGTGGCTACTATTGCATGTCAATTCATTATCCACTTGGTTTTTCTGGTGTAGCTTTCTAGGCTTACCTCTTTTGAGTGACTTAATAGACTCTATAGTATTCTCTGGTTTGGTGCAGACCTCATTTTACTGTCACACAATTGACTTGAAGATGTAGAGAATACAAGGTCCAGTGTGGTTATTGTTTGTTGACTATTAAAAAGCATTTAACTTGGTAGAACAGAGTGATCACTTTAAAGGCTTTCCTTCAACAAGATGCATGACAGAATCTTAAAAGATTTCTTGAAAAACATAACAATAGGGATACTTTGTTTGAAGATCCTTTGGTTATTAATGTCAAGTAATGTGTAAAACAGAGAGATAAATGGTCCCTTATGTATTTGCTCTATTTTTGCAAAATGTTCAGCACAGTATCCAAATAGAAGAGATAGTGTAGATAGTAAAGTTGTCCAAGAAGTCCTGTTTATGCTTGACGTTGTGTTGACTATATTACAGAACTCTGCAGAGCTCCATTATCACACAAAAGAGTTTTATTGTATTATCCACACAGGGAAAGCCAAAAGAATTATGCCTGTGGCCCAGACTATCAATCAACAAGTATTGATTAAGCATTGCTTACTGAGCTAAGCACTGTAATAGGTTCTCAGCATACAGGTACAAAAGTAAGATTGTCTCCTCCATCAAATAGCATATTACATGTACCCCATAGGACTGGCCCATCAGTACCTATACCTTGCACAGATAGTGCTGATGAACACTGCACCAGGCTCAGAGTTGAACAGAAGGAAGTAGACTGGATTGCCTTTGGGAAATTATACTGTGCTTTTAATGCCTTCGAGGTTTTTTCCTGAAACCATTTCCTTAATATCCCTTCTTCCTGAGATGTTGCATGACTCTAAGTCAGGGAATCCAGTCTTTAAAGACTCAAAGTTAAGGGTCACCTGAGGAATGGAGAGGCACGGGGGCAACATAAGTAGGCTTCAGCATATTATCAATGTTGATTTGAGTTCAAGAAGGGGCATTAGAGACTTTATCCAGAGAGTCTGAGTGTTGCTGTACAGTGACCCAGGTATTATCAAGAGACTCAGAAAATGATCTCTGGCTTCCAGTATGTCAGAAGATATGGATGAGGACTCACTTGTTCCAAAGGTGTGGCTAGATTACAGTTTGTTCATCAGGGTAAGGAATGCCTTCATGGATGAGATCATGGATCAGTTAAAGGACTTTGAGATAGGAATAATTTGGTAAACCTTTTTTAACTTTCAGGCCACATTTGACATTTTTCTTAAAAGGGAAAACAAATCATTTCTCTTTTTCTTTGTGAAATCAAGCTAGCATTTAATAGTATGAAAAAGGTTTATGCTACCAAGAAGCATTCACCATATTTAATCTATCGTTTACTGCTTCAGGTATTTCCCCTCTTCCCCCATTCCCTCCCCATACTTCTGAGAAGGAAATGCAAGATTTTTTTCTCTGTAAAATATTTTCTTGGATGGGCTGACTTTATCATCATTGGCAGGCAAATCAAAGACTTAAAGTGACCCCTCTGTGCTGTTCCCCCCCCACCACACTAATACCTCAATCACCTGAAAATAATTTTTCTATTTTCTGAAAAAATGAAATCAGTTTTGAAAAAAAACCTGAAGCAGGATATGAATGTGTTAATATAAGGTAAATTGCTTTTGTTATACCCTGCTTTTCACTTGGGTTCTGAGACAAAAGCTTATGTTATCATTGCCCTTGGAAACAATCATTAGGTCTCCAGAAACTTATGTCAATAGAACTAACCTTTCCTGTACTGCCTCAGGATTAGTTGTAGAATAATGTTTACTATCTTGTATATCTCATTTTCAGTCTTAGAAATTTATTTTTGGGATACCCTTTTATTCATGGAATTTTTAAAAATTACATATATCTGAAGGAATGCTTTAGATTTTAGGCATTTGTTTCTAAAGCTTAGCTATGCCTATCAATTTACATACCTCTTACTAAAAAGTTTGACATTTAGAAGCTGTTGAATTGATTTCACTTTGTTCTTTGAGAGAATAGAGTTACCTCATTACTTTATGCAAGATCATGTTTGGAACCAGCATTATTTAATTTGTTCTGATAGTGTTTCCTATTGGATAATATCCTGCTTCATCATTGTTTTTCCCTTTGGATAACATCCTGCTTCATGGTCTGGTATTATGGGAAATGTACATAGAGAAAAAACAAGAGAAACTTTGGGGTGGAGTACTTCAGTAGCAAATATACTAAGCTCTTCTCTCATTTTACAAGACCTTCAGAGGCCTATTTGAAGAGGATAGTAGGCCACCAGGGGCCAGGTTGTATCTTTTGTTTTTTGGGGTGTTTTTTTGTTTTGTTTTTTTAGGCAATTGGGGTTAAGTGACTTGCCCAGGGTCACACAGCTAGTAAGTGTCAGGTGTGTGGTCTGAGGCCAGCTTTGAACTCAGGTCCTCCTGACTCTATCCACTGCACCAGCTAGCTGCCCCCAGGTTGTATCTTAGAAGCAGCGTTACCAGAGTTTGCTGTGTTTGGAAGAGTATGAAAGAATTTAGCATTTTCCATAAAATGTGAGGAATTATGTAAGCAAATCTGGTAGTTAAATCATATGACTCCTTGAAAGATATAATTATAAAGATAATTTTGTTCAT